CTTCAAGGAACTAACACTTTTTATGTGCATAATTCATAATTACTAATTCAGAGTCCATAATCGACAGACAAAATTTCAATCTTCTAGACATTGTAATCAAGAATTAAGATAAGCTTTATGTAAATCATATATCTAATCAAGGATCAAAATTTTGTTTCAAAGCATTGTTTTGGTTACCTAGGAAATGGAAACGTCTTGATTTGTTTCAAAAACGTTTCAACATGTTTCGACTTGTTTCAAAAAGAGAATGAAAAAAAATAAAAAATTTAAAAATTATTTTTTCAAAACATTGGTCAAAATATATCAATATTTTGAAATACCTTGAAACATTCAAAATAAATTGTGTAAATGCATTGAAATATAACAAAATATTTCGAAATATTATGGGATACTTCGAAGTATTAGAATTTCGATTCCATCACTGATTCGTTTCGGTCTCCTTAGAAATGGAAATGTTTTGAATGTTTCGACCGTTTCGAAACGATATTTTGATCTTTGCATCTAACACAAAAAATAATGACAGACAAAAGATATAACTAATAAATTGTGGAGTACTACGTCCAGTAATATACCAACACGTTAGAAAATGCATATTGCTATAAGCTGAATGTCCTCCAGAACAAAAACATTAGCATGCCACCGTGTGTTATTGGGAGTCTACATACATAGACTTACACACGCATACACACACAAAACACACAACAAACACATCCACTCATACAAAGTACATACATACAAACACACAGGGATCAAGAGAGAGAGAGACGTTGAACATACCTCCTTACATATGTTCTCAAAAAACCCAATTTTTTACTTCTAATGAAATGAAGGGTGGACGACCTCATTAAAGTCTCTTTGCCTTCCCGCGTGTTTCTAGTTTTTTGTGTTTTTTAAAACACCAAATTTTTGTTTTCAAAATCTGGCAAAACAGCTTGGCTTGAAAAAAATAAAATACGAACCAAATGCATTTTTGTTTTTTATTTTTGCAAAAAATGAACATAAAAAAACAAAAAACGAAGTTGTTACCAAAACGCACCCTAGGTTGCTTAACTATCACATTTGTCTTCATTTTTTTTTATGGTTATGATTATTAATATGTTGCTAATTATTGTACAACTGAATCATGGTATACTTATGACAGTGATGCTCTTAATTTAAGGAAGATTGCTATGAGAATAATATNCTGATTCGTTTCGGTCTCCTTAGAAATGGAAATGTTTTGAATGTTTCGACCGTTTCGAAACGATATTTTGATCTTTGCATCTAACACAAAANTTGATTCGTTTCGGTTTCCTTAGAAATGGAAATATTTTGAATGTTTCGACCGTTTCGAAACGATATTTTGATCTTTGCATCTAACACAAAAAATAATGACAGACAAAAGATATAACTAATAAATTGTGGAGTACTACGTCCAGTAATATACCAACACGTTAGAAAATGCATATTGCTATAAGCTGAATGTCCTCCAGAACAAAAACATTAGCATGCCACCGTGTGTTATTGGGAGTCTACATACATAGACTTACACACGCATACACACACAAAACACACAACAAACACATCCACTCATACAAAGTACATACATACAAACACACAGGGATCAAGAGAGAGAGAGACGTTGAACATACCTCCTTACATATGTTCTCAAAAAACCCAATTTTTTACTTCTAATGAAATGAAGGGTGGACGACCTCATTAAAGTCTCTTTGCCTTCCCGCGTGTTTCTAGTTTTTTGTGTTTTTTAAAACACCAAATTTTTGTTTTCAAAATCTGGCAAAACAGCTTGGCTTGAAAAAAATAAAATACGAACCAAATGCATTTTTGTTTTTTATTTTTGCAAAAAATGAAAATAAAAAAACAAAAAACAAAGTTGTTACCAAAACGCACCCTAGGTTGCTTAACTATCACATTTGTCTTCATTTTTTTTTTATGGTTATGATTATTAATATGTTGCTAATTATTGTACAACTGAATCATGGTATACTTATGACAGTGATGCTCTTAATTTAAGGAAGATTGCTATGAGAATAATATCCCAAACAACCTCATCCAAGTGGTTGTAAAAGCGGTTAAAAAAAAGGGTTATAAAAGAAATTGGAGCGTCTTTGCCCTCATTTATACTGAAGTGTGCAATCGACTCAATTATCAAAGGTTGGAAAACGTGGTGTTTGCATAATATAACATGAGGTTGAAGTTAAAACACCTTATGAAGGAAGGAAAAGGATATGAATTCAAATTTATTGACTTAAATGTTGTATTTCAAGGAGATGAAGACATTTCAAAGTGATTAGATGATCATGGTGATGCACTTTTTTATGAACTTTGTGACAATGGGGAACTAACTAGCCCAAAACACTTTCTTGGCAACATGGGCTAATTGTTTATGCGATGATAATGCAAGAAGAGTAAGGCAAATTAAGGTCTAAATTAAGTGGAAAAGTATCAAGTAAAACAATGAGAACTACCTCACCAATAGATGATGAAGAGTTTGGGAGACAGATAAGTGGTCCACGAAGATGTAAGCAACTTGTCTCTCTTACTAGTAATAGTGGTGATGAACATGTTGGTAAATGTAACAATGATGATGGATAGGTTAAAGATGATGATGATGGAGATTGTGGTGAGTCATTACTGGTTCGTCGCAAGTGGAGAGGAGAATTTACACATGCCACACAAAAGAGGATCATGATTCTCTGTATGCTTCAATATGGATGGCAAGGTCGACAAGATCGTCGACAGGAGCATACTTAGAATTCTACCACTTTATGTGGTATAGATGTTGTTATGCATTAAGTTGGATTGATGGTTTGTCTAGTACAAGAGTAAGTGCAAGTGAAAACCATGACTATGGTTCATCATCTTCATATGGTTATAGGTTTGGATATGATATTGAGATATTCCATCATATGATTATGGATGGGGGTATAAACCACGAAGATATGAGCATGGATTCTCAATTTGTGATTATGGATCTAGCTATTACTCCAAACATGGTCCTCATATACACAAAGCAGAGGTTGGGCAGGGCAGGGGCTGATGCATCTTTCTCAACAGATTGGACGTAGTGTTGCAAGGTTGAGGACAGAGTATGATGCATATTATCATAAATATATGAGTTGGGCTAGATATTGTTGACATCTTTGTAGCACATATGGAGTTTCTCAAAATGATTACCTAGAGCTTGCACTGATCCAATGAAATGGATTTAGTTCTTTACTCATGAGCATTTATTGTGTTTGTTTGATGAAGAAGTGTTTGACTTCAATTGAAATGATTTCTGCCTCATATTAACTTTCTTTTTTTTCCTAGCTTGAGAATTACAAAAATACTCAATCGATCAATTATTAAACTTAACTATATAAATAGAGGGACCAAATGAATGGGACATAATGCTTAGATTGGTTACATAAATGGAGGGGATAGAATGGAGCATTGATCGAATATAGAGGCTTGAATCTATCCAAGAACCTTTATTCTTGTGGAGGATCCCAAAAGTTTTTTATCACATGTTTTAAAAGGCAGTAAGGTTTGGAAAAAACCAAATACGAATTTACAACAAAAACATGAGTTATTGGAACTTTATAATCTTCAACAAGATATGAAACATCAAACAAGTTATTAGAGGCATTAGGAGTACAAAAAGAAAAGTTGGGAGCTAAAGAAGATAAAGAACGATTCAAAGGCATATGGAGAAAGTACCTGACCCAATCAAACTTATTTTTGTGTTCATAATTGACTTCTCTACACATGATCACTATTTTGAAAATGGTAGAGGGAATATTGAGGCAGCTAGTGTGGTTGGGATGGTGGCAGTTAGCTTGATGGAATCATCCTTCAGAACCTCACATTACCCGGTTGGAACGATTCCTAACTAGGGACATTTGGGCATGAGGGGGTGGATTGTGGTGACCCAATCCCACATTGCCTCTTGAATTGTGCATGAGGGTTTGATAGGTGTGAGTTAGGGACCTTCATTTTACAACGCATTTCAAGAATATATGGGTACGTCACAAAGCAGACAATATTGTACAATATGGGTTAGGGGTATTTCAAATGTTATCAAGCCAATTGACCTTTTTTGGTGGGGAGGTCATGTAGTCTCACTTGGTGGATCTGGTCCATCAATACGATTGCTTGGGATGGTGATTGGGTCAGGATGGATACTAGATGAGGATGTTTGTACATATTGGGATGGATTATGATGACCCAATCACACCTCTTTTGGTGGTGTGTCAAATGCTTGATAAGTTTTAGGTTTGAACTCCTCATGTAAAATGCGTGTGGTCTAGCCCAAAGCAGCCAATATTACACAATGTAGGTCCCGAGCCTTACAATTCCACAATTAAGTTATCTTGAAAATATAGACCAGGATCAAATAAGGATGTTTGGGCATACGGGAGTGGCGTGTGGTGACCCAATCACACATCACTAGGTGAAGTTTATGTAAAATGCTGATAAGTTTGAGTTTTGAACTTTCCATGTATGATGCGTTTTTAAAGCTGCATGGGCTTAGCCCAAATTAGACAATATTGCACAATGCAGATCCAAGGCATTTTATGTCCTCAATATGTCCTCAGTAGTTATCTTGAAAACCTAACCTAGACCAGGTTTCAATGCTTGAAAAGAGATCAATTAAGATATATATGTTTTTGAGAAAACAAAAAACTTGCAGCTCTAAACTAGAATTAAAAAATATTAGGTTATCTATGGTTGCTGTCCAAGCAAACTTCTTTACTTGCTTACTTCTCTTATTCTCTCCCTACAATATTGAGTAATTTCCTATTCATGTATTCTACTATCTGTGCCAGAGCAGTTATAAACTTGCATGGTTGATACAAGTTCTGCCAGTCAAATTTAGTACTTAAGACCCTGTTTGTTATGTTTCTCTTGTTTGTAATATATTTGATATATCTCGTGTATCAAATTGTTTTGTTTTGATTGTACTAATAGATAGAGAATTCTAAACTTGGCCTTCATTTCTCATAAGTTAGTTCATAATGTATCTGCTTCATAATGTCTTTGGAGAAAGGGAGTTGGTATGTTTGTTTTTGTGTCCTGGTTTGAGTTTTCAGTTTCAAATATAGCTTTTACTTAATCAATTTCCATGCGCGTCCCTGCAATTGCTAACCTGTCATATGTTTTGGCACTGTACTAACCTGGTGGGAATTTTGTTTTGATCATTTTTCATCAAATTGATTCTACATTTGTTAGAGATTCCTGATTGTTTTTTTGTTTATGAAAGAGCTTAATAGTTTTTGTTGGAACTTATAGGTATCTGATATTTTCTTAGACTCTTCCTTCAAAGTTTTTGCTGATACCTTGGCGAGTGGGGGAATTATTAAGGCATTATGTGTGCCTTCTGGGGCAAAAACTTACTCAAACACTGCTCTTAAGAAGGGTGATATTTACAATGCAGCAATCAAATCTGGAGCAAAGGGTTTGCCTTTCCTAAAAGTTTTGAATGATGGTAAAAAGAAATTCTTTTGAAAAGTTTATGCATATGCATAATTGGTGAAAAGTGATGTTACTATTCACCATTGACAATGAATTTTTAATTTGTAGGGGACATTGAAGGGATTCCTGCATTAGTATCAAGTTTGGATTCAAAAAAAAGAGAGAAGTTGCTGAAGATTTTTTCTGCCGGATCTGGTGATCTTGTCTTGTTTGCAGTTGGTCACCATGTGTCAGTTAATAAAACATTAGACCGGCTGAGGGGATATATAGCTCATGAATTGGGCTTGGTTGACCATGTAAGTTGGCAGCACAACTTCAGTTTTGAAAATTTACATCTCTCTGTCTGTGTGTCTGTCTGTCTGTCTGAATCTCCCCTTATTTTTATTGTGTTTGTGTAATATCTAGACCAGACATTCCATTTTGTGGGTGACTGATTTTCCAATGTTTGAGTGGAATAGTGCGGAACAGAGGCTTGAGGTATGTATTATGTTAATAAAATGTCTTCTTTTCTAAATTTAGAATGTATTGCAGTTACCTGTTACATGTAGTCAGCTGCTAATTGGAGGAGGGAATTGCATTGTTCTGAATGAATCTTCCAAAATTTTTATATGAGTTGTTCGTAACTATTATTCTTATGGGATATGTTACCTGCTAAAACAACAACTCATAGGCTGTTAGAGAGTGTAGCATAAGTGTTTATATTCTTCAACATCACGTCAAGATTTTGGATAAGTACGTACAAGTTTTATAATTATCAAAGTGGCAGCAAGATTCAAACATATAAGCTCTTTCTCTGATATAACGTTAAACCACCTACTCTTCTAAAAGTTTAAGTTCTTAAGTATGTAACACGTAATCCATTCACATCACTATTGAAAGAGAAAGAAAGTATCCCGCCCTTTCTTATGAACTTCCCTACTATAGAGTGGTGTTAGCGGGGCACTCAGAATGATGGGCCAAAATATTCCATTATTCTTTTGTCTTTAGGATGGATGTTTGCCCCATCTCTATTTCTTTGTCTTCACTAGGCCGGACTACTATTAATTGGCCACCATCGCTATCAAATTTGAGTTCAAATACTGTCATGGCCATTGTCACTAGTGGTTGATGACACATGCAAATGCGAATCACATCTTTGTAGTCATGATGGCCCACATTTGTGCCAAACCCTAAAATCTTAAAGGATTGGGATGTATGCCATCATAGCTAGAGTTGATAGCTATCCAACGCCACATTGATTAGGTCAACCCTTTACCTTTGTTTTAAATAANGGTCCACATTTGTGCCAAACCCTAAAATCTTAAAGGATTGGGATGTATGCCATCATAGCTAGATGATAGCTATCCAACGCCACATTGATTAGGTCAACCCTTTACCTTTGTTTTAAATAATGGCAACAATAACAATGTTATGAATGCAGGGTGTGACGGGTGTTACGCAATCGTAACGAAAACCTGGATGCCTGTTTTTTATTTTTCAATTCAAACCTCTTACATGTGCATATTTGCACGTTTAAACTTTAAAAATCATGCCGAAATGGGTATTTAGGGATCACAAAAATGATATTGACTTGTTTAGTAGTAGTAGTATATTTATATAATGTTTTAAATATGAATAAAGTTATGCAAATATTATGATTTCTGTGTAAAATAAAACTTATCAAAATGGAAAAATTATTGGGCTGATGAGGATCCAAACAAAATCAATCTTATCCATGAGCAAACAAGGATTAGTTCAATAATTATGGGCCCAAAGAAATCAAGCGAATATGTGACTTGCATAGGAGATGTCTGGGCGAGTAACTATAAGGTACACCAGACTACCAACAATAGTGCGATCTAGTGTAGGATCAAATAATGGAATGCCATTAGAGGAAGAATGATGAGCATTAAGCTCTAAGGGCATCTCAACTGTCTTATGTCAAATAAACGGGCTCGCTATATAATATCTAAGGCATACTTAGATTGAGAGAGAAGATAACTCTTAGGAGAAGATGCGACTTAAATACCTTAGAGGCTAGAAATATTGGAGCTGACTCAAATTTTTCATTTCAAAGGGATCTTGCAACTGATTTTTTAACAACAAAATGCTCGCAATGTTATCACCTGTAATGATCATATCATCAATATATAATAAAATTATAGTAGAACTTAAGGGAGAGAATCACAGAAAGAGAGCAGAAGCATGGTCATTGGCACGAAAAATCAAATCACAAATGACAGAAGAAAATTTGGCAAATAATGCCTTGGGAGCGTGTTTAAGACCATATAATGCCTTGTAGAGTATGCACATCTCACTCGGATTTAGAGGTAATCGATGAGGTGGAGCCATAAATATTTCTTCAGTCAAATCTCTATTAAGAAAGATATTTTTCACATCCATTTGAGGATAACCCTGTTAATGAATGACATCCAGTGCGAACAATGGTCATATTAGTTACAAAGGCAAATGTCTCTTCATAGTCTATGCCATATTTTTGTGTAAATCATTTAGCTACCAATTGAGCCTTGTACCATTCCACACTGTCAGATTTGGTCGTAATTTTATAATTCCATTTACAACCAACTGTGTGTTTTTTCAAGTAATGCCACTAACTCCCAAGTCTTAATCTTTTATGTAAAGTGGCAAGTTCCTTATCCATAGTCTGTTTTCAAAAAGGGTCAATAAAAACCTCCTTATAGGAGGAAGGTAGGTTTTCAGAAGCAGATAGAAACTAAAAAAGAACAAAAATTAGTAATATAACAAGAGTTTGAGAAATAAAACTGATCTGGACCCTTACGAGATCGTTAAGGACAACGAGGAACACGATTCACATTGTCAAAATTTGATTGAATGACAGTAGAGAAGGCGGGAGACAACACATTGTAGAAGAGACAAGTGAAATCCTACAAGCATATGTATGCACAATAAGAGGACGAGTCACAAATAAATTAGAAGAAAAAGAACATTAGAGACAGTTATGTCACGAACATAAATGTCAGTGGGAACATCGGCCAGAAATGGATCAATGTAAAATATTCAATAATGAAATAGATGTTATTAGGATCCAAACACTTCCAACTCCAAGGCTCCAACCACCCTAGCCTCATGTTCTTTTTTCAACTAAACCCTCTCTCTACTGCAACTCCAGCCTTTTTTTTTTTCTTCTCATCTCTATTCTCCAACTCCTTGCAACTCCATTTTTCCGCCACAACTTCATCCCTTGGACTATCACGGTAGAACTTCGAAGATCAAGTCTGGCGACATGCTGTCCAAAAGTGGACATCATCAAGTCCTACAAAGATGACATGGACGTTGAGACCTTCAACGACAGCTGTCATCGTCATCGATGAAGGTGTGATTTCTGGTAGGTGCTATGGTTGATAATTATGTAGAAACTAAATAGAATACCAACATGTATGGTTGTTTGTATTCACACGGGTTATGGGGTCATAACAATCCAAATCGGCCTGATTGACCCCTATTGTCTGTTACAGGCGTTACGAACCCGTTGCGGGCCATTATGGTGCCGCAACGATAGCAATTGGTGTGAAGAAAATTTGGCCGCAAAATTAGGATATTGTGAGATTGGTTGCCGTCGATACCATTACTTAAGGGTCTGCTTTTTAGAACTATGTGTTCCATGTGTGTCATAATGAATTTTAAGCTAATCAACTTTGGCAACAATTAATGATCAATATTAGTGGTGCCAAGCCGAGCACCACCAGACTGTTTGTGCTTGATTCGCACAGTCGTGAAGAGTATTCGAGCTTGACTCTGTCTGAAAACATAGCTTGTGCAGTGTTTGAGCTTAAACTCAAATTTATGCTTTTCCTCATGATCAAGCTCGGTTCATTTACACATATGATATCATATATTACATATGAATAATATTGTATACGGGTCATAATATTTAATGTTATATCATGTATAGAAAATATGNCTTTTGTGTAAATCATTTAGCTACCAATTGAGCCTTGTACCATTCCACACCGTCAGATTTGGTCGTAATTTTATAATTCCATTTACAACCAACTGTGTGTTTTTTCAAGTAATGCCACCAACTCCCAAGTCTTAGTCTTATGTAAAGTGGCAAGTTCCTTATCCATAGTCTGTTTTCAAAAAGGGTCAAGAAAAACCTCCTTATAGGAGGAAGGTAGGTTTTCAGAAGCAGATAGAAACTAAAAAAGAACAAAAATTAGTAATATAACAAGAGTTTGAGAAATAAAACTGATCTGGACCCTTACGAGATCGTTAAGGACAACGAGGAACACGATTCACATTGTCAAAATTTGATTGAATGACAGTAGAGAAGGCGGGAGACAACACATTGTAGAAGAGACAAGTGAAATCCTACAAGCATATGTATGCACAATAAGAGGACGAGTCACAAATAAATTAGAAGAAAAAGAACATTAGAGACAGTTATGTCACGAACATAAATGTCAGTGGGAACATCGGCCAGAAATGGATCAATGTAAAATATTCAATAATGAAATAGATGTTATTAGGATCCAAACACTTCCAACTCCAAGGCTCCAACCACCCTAGCCTCATGTTCTTTGTCAACTAAACCCTCTCTCTACTGCAACTCCAGCCTTTTTTTTTTTCTTCTCATCTCTATTCTCCAACTCCTTGCAACTCCATTTTTCCGCCACAACTTCATCCCTTGGACTATCACGGTAGAACTTCGAAGATCAAGTCTGGCGACATGCTGTCCAAAAGTGGACATCATCAAGTCCTACAAAGATGACATGGACGTTGAGACCTTCAACGACAGCTGTCATCGTCATCGATGAAGGTGTGATTTCTGGTAGGTGCTATGGTTGATAATTATGTAGAAACTAAATAGAATACCAACATGTATGGTTGTTTGTATTCACACGGGTTATGGGGTCATAACAATCCAAATCGGCCTGATTGACCCCTATTGTCTGTNCGCGTCGGATACGTCTGAGAAGTATCCTAAAATTAAAAAAAAAAAATTGGTTTTTGGATACGGTCCGATATGTTTTGGATACGCCTAGGATACGCATAAGGGTACGGCGGGGTATTACTCGAATTTTAAAAAAGTATAGGGGCACAAGAGCAATATATTTAGGCCCTTATTTGCAAAAAAAAAAAATATTATTAAACTAAAAGTCTAAAAGACTAAAACCTGTACACTTTTCTTCCACAGCCCGTCAAGCCCCCCACTCCCTTCAGTCGATACTCGACGACGATCGTCTCTCTCTCTCTCTCTCTCTCTCACTCACTCACACTGACGATCGACTGACTTTGATGGTTAGTTATTATTATATATCTTTGATAGAAGTGTGATTTACTTTATAAATCATAATTATTACATNTAGTAATATAACAAGAGTTTGAGAAATAAAACTGATCTGGACCCTTACGAGATCGTTAAGGACAACGAGGAACACGATTCACATTGTCAAAATTTGATTGAATGACAGTAGAGAAGGCGGGAGACAACACATTGTAGAAGAGACAAGTGA